ACCTTGGGTATTACAGGACGCTGGAAAACCCTCGACCATTACAACCACAGGTAAAGAAATTCCGACAAAACTTTGAAATAGTTTTCCATGCGGCAACGGAGTGCATATGTCGAAAGTGTGTTTGGGGCTCGATATGAAAGCTCCCCGTTACCATGTGACTAACCAAACTTATAAATATAGGTATTATACAATCGCCCGTAGCTATGAACACTCCTGTAAATGCGAAAACCAACCAAAATCATAAGGAACACGTTTTGTTTGTTGTTCTGTCTATTTGTCAGCCAATGTCTTCAACCACGGGGACTTGTGAAGTAGCCATCTTGGATTTTTTTTTATGAAAAAGTGTTTCTCTCACTTTTTTTCATATCTGTGTACATATTCTCAACATACCGAGCAAATACTCTCGTTTTTTTGTTAATTATCTAAAGAAAGTCGAAAATTGGCAATTCAACCATAGGCTAATTCAACCCAACATTTGAAAATGTTCCACCACTTACATTTTGATGATTTTTCCTCTCATCAATAGCATATTACGTACTATTTAATAGGATAAAAATTGGTTTGCATCCATAAAAGGGTGTATTCTCTAAAAAAACACAGTTTTTGTGTCTAAAATGTTATCATCGAAAATGGCATTTTTGAGATTGTTTCTTCCATAAAACAGCCAAATGGCGTGATGGAAACATGATTGTTTGTCACAATCATGCCATGAATGTATTCTTTACGGTGACTATCATTTGATTAGATTTTCAATAATATTTTACATAACATGCACATTTTATCAACACTTGGACAGCTTCTGATAAGTACAACTTTGAGGAGCCATAAAAAACAAACCAAGTGGCCTAAATCTTTATACTTTATAGATTTGTGACCACAACGGCATGGGCAATGCACCATCAACAGGAAATTTGAATCAGAGAAGGGGCCGTTTTGGAAACCGGCCCTTTAGAAGTGAATCAAAATAAACTCCAAGCAATTTTAAAGTTTTCTCAGGTAAAATCGTTACATTATCTATTTTGAAATTTGCAAATGCCTCCAGGATTTCCCCTTATTTGGTTCTTGTAAAACCATTTAACCAAGTTTGAACAGTCTGTTTCAACAGCTTGTTTTAGAGTGAGGGGATCTTTGCTAGAGTTACTGATGGTGTTATCATCAGCGTAATTATATAAGTTGGATGACTTGACATAAAAAAACATATCATTAATGAAAATATTGAAAAGTAAAGGGCCCATGATTGAGCCTTGAGGGACACCTTTCAGCACTTTCATCCAGTCACCGCATTTGGAACCCAGTCTAACCTGCTGAATTCTGTCGCTCAAATAGCTAGAGACCAGGTCTACTGAGCCAGAGCTCATACCATAAGCCTCAAGCTTTCTGAGCAGCAGATCACGAGGAAGGCCTTGGATAGATCCATGAGTATGGCGGCGACATACTCCTGGTTATCCAAGGCCTTTCGCCAATCCTCAGCTAATCTCAACAGGGTAGATTGACAACCAAATCCTGGTCGAAAGGCGACTAGAAAGGAATTAAAAATATTACTGAAGTATTGCCCGAGTTGGTCACTCATACTCCTTTCAAAAATTTTGAGATACATGGCAAGATACTGACAGGCCTGTAATTTTGCTTATCCATGGCATCTTTCTTTTTATAAACAAGGACCACTTGAGCCATTTTAAGTTGACTTGGAAAAGTACTGGATTGGAAACTGAAATTGATAATATTGCAGAGTGGATAGCTGATGCTGTTATTACAAGCCTTCAGTAGTCTGGCCGAAATTCCATCAAGGCCTGTTGCCTTTTTGGTACTTAACTGCTTTATACTTTTGTGAACATACACAGGAGAAACTGGATTAAAATCAAAAATGTTATTTTCAGGACTTTTGATATTGGTAATGATGTTGTCATCATCTGCGACATCACCACCAATATCACTAGCCACATTTACATAAAAGTCATTTAAAACATTACACACTTCAGTCTGGTCACAAACAATTGTTTCATTTTCTTTCAAGATAATGTTATTGTCAGCACTATAGCCATTTTTTGAGAGGAAAGGTTTGATGGTGGGCCAGAAATCCCGAGAGTTTGGCCCATCAGCACACCTTTCAATTAAGTAGTTTCTCAAAGACTGTTTTCGGATCTTTGTCACCAAATTTCTTTGCTGTCTATACATCTCCCAATTATGTTGGGTTCTGATCTTCTTATACCTGTTAAAAAGCATACGCTTACGATAAATAGCTTTACGAAGTGAGCTATTAAAAAATGGACATTTCTTTTGCCTTACCTGCTTTTCCTTAATGAGGGCGTGCTCATCTATAACTTCCATGAATAGTTTTTCATGAGCCCAATAAATATCATCTACATCTTCAAAAACATAAGTAGAATGAAAAGGAATGTTGCCCACATCATCATTAAAAGCTTTTTCATCAAAGTTTTTGAAACTTCTAAAACTTTTCTTTCCCTTGGGCATTGGTTTTAAAACCCCTTTAAAGACAGTAGTGATCATGTTATGCAAATCACTTAGTCCAGTGTTAAAAGACATGGTACTACATAAAAATTGACGACTTTTAGTTAAAAAATACATCAACTAATGATAGATTGCTATTTTTCATGAAGCGAGTAGGATTCTTAACTAGATTTGTCGTGTCAAAAAGGTTACATAAATCAGATAAAATATTTTCTGATAAAAGCATATTTACACTCAAATCTCTATAACTTCAATGTATCTCCGACGTATGCTAAATTCTTTATTTCCATCAGCTACAAACATGGAATGACGCAGATCATTTTAATCGACTATCAGTAAGACAGAAATAATATATGGCAAATGCTTACAGATGTGGGGTTGTCGTCAGTTAAATATACTAGATTTCTAATTGTAGCTCAACACTTCTGACGGTATTTTTGTTTGGTTTTAGGCCTGCTGATGTTTGTTGCAGTGGTTCAGTTCTTTCGATTTTTCACTAAGATATCAAAGTAATTTGAATGAAATAAACAATTATGGATCAAGTAAAAATAACATTGGCTGTGGCTCCTAGGATTACTGCTGTGGCTACAAATTTCAGAGGTCATTTTCGTGTGTCACTGGTTTTATTTCATTATTGATTTTTAGGTCATCTGACCTATTGCAATCACCTTTTGTCCGGCATCGTCCATCGCATGTTGTCCGTGATAAACATTTTCAACTTCTTCTTAAGTTCTACATGTCTCATTGAGCTGAAACTTACCTGAAATGATTGTGACATGATCCTGACCAAAGTTTGTTAATTTCAAGTTGGTGCGAAATCCAAGATGGCCGCCATCTTGAAAACACATTTTCGAATTCTTCTCAAGTTCCACCAGTGCGATTGGGCCAAAACTTGCATGAAATGATCATAACAAGACACCGACCAAAATTTGTTACTTCAAACATCTTCTGAATAACCAGAACACCCAGGGTGATGATATTTGGCCTGTAGCATGCTGGGATGAAGGTTTACGAAATTTGTTGAAATGAATAACCTTAACCCACTTCCAAGGTGGTGGCTAAGTGCCCTTGATTCTTAAATCCAGGTGAAATAAGTTCAAAATTTGAAATATTGTATTTTATGTCAGATGACCATTAAGGCCTCTTGTTCATTTAGAAATCAAGAGTTCCAATTCAAATGAAATCGTAAATCAAATAACCTTGTGAAAATAACTTTGACTGTGGCTCATACAATTACTGTTGTGGCCCCATAGTTCTAAGGAATCTTTTGTGTGGATCTAGTCATGGTGATGTATAAAGCAAATTTCTATTTCATTATTGTGATTTTTTCAATCATATATTAGACATTTAATATTTCAAGTAACTCTCAATATAAAACTAGTGAAATTTTGGCATTTATGGTTACTGTTGTGGCTCCAAATTTCAGAGGTCATTTTTGTGCGAGCCTTAAAAGCCTGCTGATGTTTAACCCAGAGACTTTTTTCATTAGATTTATTTTTCAATAAGATATCAGACTTTAACTGATTGCTAGTACTACGCCAATATAGAACCTATTGAAAATGGACGGTTACTGCAACTCTTAGGGTTTTGCGGTGATTCCAAACTTTTCTGGACTTTTTTGTGTGACTGCCAATCTGCTTATGTACATTGCAGTGTGCTAATTCATTTAAGTAAATTTTTTCAGTATGATATCTGAGAGTGTATAAAAGACATACAAGTGAATAGCACCTTTCAATACAAATCTAGAGTTAGATACAAAAGAGCTAACAATGAATTAAACTGCATTGTTCAATTCTCTGGTCCTTCTAGGACTCGCTAAGGCCTAAAATTAGTAGCCTTGGAAGTCACTGAAGAAAATCTTAAGTGATGGAATGAAAAGACAAAATCTACTCGAGGAGAAGCACTTGACCCCGTAATTAAATAAATTTCATAATTTTCATATATCAGATAATTTTAGAACGTCAAGTACATATTTGAATGAATGAAACCGTAGCATGTAGGTTACAGCAACACAACTTCAGAGTCTTCAGTGATGCTAAGGGTCTAAATTTTGAAACCTAGAAAGCGAAGGAAGAAAATTCAAAGTGATCCAAAGAAAAGTAAAAATCTAGATGGGGAGGTGCTCTAATCCTATAATTAAACTAATTTTGTTATTTTTACAAATCAGATAATTTCAGAAAAACATCAAGTATATATGACCCCCATACAATTGAACCGACTTGGTGGCCATTCATTCCAAAATGCTGCTGGCTCAATATGTCATTTTCCGCTATGGAGAAGTTGTTTAAATATTTAATATTTGACCTCTGTGGCCTACAAATAGGTCAATGTCAGTCATTTAAAAATATTCCTGACCTAAATTAATGACCCTAGCCATTTTTGGCTATTGAGAGGAAACTAAAAATTGATGCCAGAGGAAAAAATGTATGAAGATATTTCATCACAGTTTAGATATGTTATATATGGTTAGTTTATCTAATACAAAGATACCTAATTAATATTTTAAGAAAGAGATTCAACAAAAGTCAACATGATTGAAAACATTTTCCATTTATTCTTTGTATACATTTCAACAATCAAAATGCAAAATCATTCTTATGTATATAGATACAACTATAATTATGAAATTAACTAGTAATCACCTTTCAAATTACAAATGACCTACCATAACCTTACATACATAATTTTTCTTTCACAGTCATATATTTATATATATTACAACATCTGACATTCAAGGGAATCTTACTCTATGGTTATAAAAAACCAAAGTCTTGTAGGGTGAATACAGTGAAACCTGTATGAGGGACCACCATACATAGCTGAATATGCTTGGAGTCATCTATGCTATAAGTAATAATCATGATCACTATCCTGTATAAGGACCCATCCTGTGACATATGAACTTCCAAAAGGTGGTCTTTCCATATCAATTCGACTGTGTTACACCCACAAGTATTACCGGGAATATTCTCTGTGTATCAAGATGGAATTTAATTTTACAAACAGAATTTTTATAATTTGTATTCATTTTGAACAGTCTAATGTCCTGCTGAAATAAGTAATTAATTTTTAACTGAAGATGTACACAAAATGATGATTACAAGTAATGGAGACACTTGTGTATTTTGTCAGCATACTTTATAAACAAAAAAATGTATTAGTCCATTATCAAAATATGCAATCCAAATAAAGATTTCTTCTTTCTAAAAGCTTGATATTTTAAAGAAAATATCTGCATTATTGTTTATTAAATGCAACTTAAATATGAGTGTCTGCAAAAACTGTCCATAATTTTAAAAATTCTTTTTAAATGAGTTCCCTGAACAATATACATTGACTAGCACTCTGTATAACGCAAGAGTAACACAAACAAAAACTGATTCAAGTGGTCAAATGGCGATGAGAAAGAAAGATGAAACAACACCAGCTGGAGAATGTTCCATTAGTACAATCACATGCACAGTAAGTAACGATCTATGTTACAGAATACATATAATTATGGCAAAGCAGGTAAATGTTTTTAGTAAATCACATACAGAACTTGATCTAATAGACTCTTTCCTGGTCCATCCTTGAGTTATGATTGTCTGAAGACAAAAAAGAAAGTCTATCACATAATTTGGAAATTTTCCATCTATGATCTACAATATTTTAGAGGCAAATTTCAGTAAAGAATGAGTTACTTCCCTTGAAAAAAGCATAATGTATTATATAGTAGATTGAAGCAATTAAAGCCAATCACCCATGACCATTTTTGACAACTGATAAACTACAGTCACCCGCATATCCTGCTTTACTGACCTGACCACAACCAAATTGTTAAATATACATGTAACTAAAGCTTTAACAATTAATAATATCACGCGTACTTTCACCCACTTTGGAAACAAGGCACTCGTCCTTTTTAATGTTCACATGGATTAACATCAGCTGGAATTCACTAAGTTTCAATACTTTGAGGATATGTATGTATAAAACACAAAGTAAAAAAAAATCAGCAAATTATAGTCATGATTGATATACTATTGACTTCAGAATTTTGGCAAGCTTGAATTATAGTGTGTTCTCCAAAGTCAACAGAACAGCATCCAACATACTTTATATGTATGTAACTTAAACAACATATAATATACAACAGTAGCATTTAATGTCTTTCCTTTGCGAGCTATCTTAAGCACTACAAATTCTTAAATCAGGTTGTGTTTTTTTGTATTGAGGCTACATATTTAAAGGAATCACTTAAAGCACATTATTTACCAAATCCTACAACAAAAAGGAAAAAAGAAACGAGGAAAAAAAAAAAAAAAGGACAAAAGATTTCAACCCTCCCAAAATGAAAAAAAAAAGATCAAAAGTCTCTAACTTCGAGAATGATTAATACAATTTAGTTAAAGAAAACCGTTGATGACAGATATGATGATTTACTGTTATCTATGTATTTAGCCAATAATATACATATATATCTATATATATATTTGTAAGCAAAATCCAGGGTTCAGCTTTTCCTCTAACATAAATGCACCTGAACTCAAAGCCTAGCTCTAAGTATTTCAGTGTAAACACATATATATATACTACATGTAACAGTGTATCGAGTCCACGGGGAAGCTTCCCATTAATGTGCCTACACCCAAAGCCTAGCGTAATATACTTTAGTGTATATGTAATCCAGGGCTCAGCTTCCTATCAATTTTAATGTGCCTACACCCAAAGCCTAGCTTTATGTACTTCAGTGTATGTGTAATCCAGGGCTCAGCTTCCTATCAATTTTAATGTGCCTACACCCAAAGCCTAGCTTAATGTACTTCAGTGTATATGTATAGTGAATCCAGGGCTCGGCTTCCTATCAATTTTAATGTGCCTACACCCAAAGCCTAGCATAATATACTTCAGTGTATATGTATAGTGAATCCAGGGCTCAGCTTCCTATCAATTTAATGTGCCTATAACCAAAGCTTAGCTTAATGTATTTTGATATATGTTATATGCATCAGTGTATTGTATCCAGGTCCCAACTTTTAAATATGTTTTACATGAATAAGTATACTGAAAATATATGCATCAGTGTATTGTACCCAGGTTCCAACTTTTAAATATATTTTACATGAATAAGTATACTGAAAATAAAGCCCTGCTTTTCTAAAAGTATTCTACAAATATTTGTATACTGAAACCAAGACGGTCAAATATACAACTACAACAAGTTAGTATCAAAAGAACAAATTCAAAACTCACATTAGTAATATTGGTAATCAAATTCATATGAAAACAAGAAAAACAACAGCGCTAGAGAAGTATGGCTCTCTTCTCCAAAAACTGTGCAGTAAACAAATCGAACTGTGAACAGCTGATGCCAAACAGTCATAACCTTATAACTAAACAAACATGAACATTATAACTGAGTGTTCATGTCATTTTCAGCTATATTCTGTCCTTTTGGTATAAGATGACTGGATTCTTCTTTGGATTGCTCCTCTTCACTTTCATCATCATCATCATCGTCCTTATTTTCATTTTTGGTTGGTTCAACAGTTTGTGAGTGTTCCTCGCCTTCTGAGACTGCTAACAGGGGTTGAGACTCGAATGCAGCTTCAGACTCTAGGGCTGTGGGACTACTAATGCCACTTTCATTCTCTATCACTGTATCATCATCAGCATCTCCTTCAACCGATCTATCTATATGATTTGTTTGTACTTCTTCCTTATTCTCTTCATCAGAATCATCAACGTTACTTATCTTACTTGTATCCGTATCAAACACACTGTCATCCAGTTTTACATTGTGATCAATATTGTTCTCTTTTGATTTGCGTTCATCATCATGTACAGAGGAAAGCGTAGGAATGATTGAAGAAATATCGGCATGGTAACAGTCATGTGCCACTTCTAGAAGGTGCTCTGCTTCATTCTTCCCGGTCTGTTGTACCATTCGGTAGAAATGTCCATCTTCGTCTTGTAAAAGGACATATGGTTTGTTGAACTCCACTATGTTACCCTCATCCAGCACCTAATTAACATACAGCCAAAGGATTTATATTTCATATCAAACTGAGAGAGAAGATGTCTGTGAGACATGGATACCACCTAATCCAATACACTAACTGGAATCTGATCAGGTGTATGCACCCTCATAAAAAATGGCAGTGGGAAACCTTCTGGGGAGTTCAGTAAAGTTGCGATAGGTCCTGTGATAACTACCAGACGACCTACACTTACCACATAACTAACAAGTTCTGATGGACCCTGTGATAACTACCAGATGACCCACACTTACCACATAACTAACGAGTTCTGATGGACCCTGTGATAACTACCAGACGACCTATACTTACCACATAACTAACAAATTCTGATTGACCCTGTAATAACTACCAGACGACCCACACTTACCACATAACTAACGAGTTCTGATGGACCCTGTGATAACTACCAGACGACCTATACTTATCACATAACTAACAAGTTCTGATGGACCCTGTGATAACTACCAGACGACCCACACTTATCACATAACTAACAAGTTCTGATGGACCCTGTGATAACTACCAGACGACCCACACTTATCACATAACTAACAAGTTCTGATGGACCCTGTGATAACTACCAGACAACCCACACTTATCACATAACTAACAAGTTCTGATGGACCCTGTGATAACAACCAGACGACCCACACTTACCACATAACTAACAAATTCTGATTGACCCTGTGATAACTTACAGACGACCCACACTTACCACATAACTAACGAGTTCTGATGGACCCTGTGATAACTACCAGACGACCTATACTTACCACATAACTAACAAGTTCTGATGGACCCTGTGATAACAACCAGACGACCCACACTTACCACATAAGTAACAAATTCTGATTGACCCTGTGATAACTTACAGACGACCCACACTTACCACATAACTAACAAGTTCTGATGGACCCTGTGATAACTACCAGACGACCTATACTTACCACATAACTAACAAGTTCTGATGGACCCTGTGATAACTACCAGATGACCCACACTTACCACATAGCTTACAAGTTCTGATGGACCCCTGTGATAACTACCAGATGACCCACACTTACCACATAACTAACAAGTTCTGATGGACCCTGTGATAACTACCAGATGACCCACACTTACCACATAACTAACAAGTTCTGATGGACCCCTGTGATAACTACCAGATGACCCACACTTACCACATAACTAACAAGTTCTGATGGACCCTGTGATAACTACCAGATGACCCACACTTACCACATAACTAACAAGTTCTGATGGGTCCTCTGATAACTACCAGACGACCTATACTTACCACATAACTATCAAGTTCTGATGGACCCTGTGATAACTACCAGACGACCCACACTTACCACATAACTAACAAGTTCTGATGGACCCTGTGATAACTACCAGACGACCTACACTTACCACATAACTAACAAGTTCTGATGGACCCTGTGATAACTACCAGACGACCCACACTTACCACATAACTAACAAGTTCTGATGGACCCTGTGATAACTACCAGACGACCCACACTTACCACATAACTAACAAGTTCTGATGGACCCTGTGATAACTACCAGACGACCTACACTTACCACTTAACTAACAAGTTCTGATGGACCCTGTGATAACTACCAGATGACCCACACTTACCACATAACTAACAAGTTCTGATGGACCCTGTGATAACTACCAGACGACCCACACTTACCACATAACTAACAAGTTCTGATGGATCCTCTGATAACTACCAGATGACCCACACTTACCACATAACTAACAAGTTCTGATGGACCCTGTGATAACTACCAGACGACCCACACTTACCACATAACTAACAAGTTCTGATGGATCCTCTGATAACTACCAGACAACAAACACTTATCAGATACCGGTAACTAATGAGATCAATTACTGAATGCAAATGTTTGTAAGACATATGATGTCACATGACTCTCTTGGCAGTGAAAATGTTTGAGACACAAAGTTCACCTGCCTGATAATTAAATGACTGATTAAACAGCTGTGATATGTGATAAAAAGAATCTAGAATTTTAGACCATGCAATACTGATTGATGACTCAAGGAAAAATGGCATATGTTTTACCAAATACTTGATTTGTTTACTAAATTCAATACCACATTACCTTTCATCTGAAGTCCTCATTTTTCTAAACAGAATCCTAACAATTCTTGTACCATCAAGAATTATTATAACATTATCTTATTGACCGGAGTGTTACATACAGAGCATGGCATTATATTATCCAGGAATAGAATTAACATGAAGGTTTCTGTAAAAATGGTAATGTTTTATCATAACAAGATCTTAAACAAATTCCAATTTGATATGAAATTTATGAAAGAACTCCAAGAATTTTATATTTTAGCAAACCTTTTGTAAGATAAAATAAAAATTTTGACATGTCTAATTAGAATGAAATTTTAGGTTTTTTTTCTCTATGGTGTAACATCATTATATCATCTAAACCAGATATTAAATAAGTTATATCACACATGTGTAATATGCAACAATATTACATAGACATACAATAAAGAAATTCATTTCTCTATCTCTGACAAAATGTAAACTAGATTACAAACTCTGGTTTTTGTAATATCTTACCAGAACTCGGTCAGAATCCATGATAGTGTTGAGACGGTGAGCGATGGTGAGAACAGTACACTGACGGAATTTTTCTCGTATTGTCTGCTGAATGAGCTCATCAGTCCTGTAACATGAAATAGGATCACAGAGTTACCTCCCTTGGCAGTTATTTAACTTGCTGTGTTATATTATATGAAAACAAGAGCCTTCAGGAAGAGATTGAGCAAAGGGAGGAATAGGTAAGTGATGAAATACTATATGGTGATTTTACAGGTTAAAATGGTGGCATCAGAAACATCTATACCTACCTAGGGTCAACATTAGCTGTTGCCTCGTCAATCATGAGAACACGATTCTTTCTGAGGATGGCACGAGCTAGACAGATGAGCTGACGTTGTCCCACACTGAAATTGATCCCTCCCTCAGACACTTCAGCCTCCAGGCCTTCAGGGAGCTCCTCCACAGCTGATTTCATCTGGACCTCCTCAAGGGCGTTCCAAAGGTGAGGGTCATCATGGTTACCAAATGGGTCAAGATTTTTCCGTAGTGGACCAGTAAATAAGACAGGGTCCTGTAGGCAGCAGCATATAAAATGAGAATTATCAATGTTTGTGAAATTAATCTGACAGAGTGTGTATTCAACTGTTATGAAGATTGTCTCGCTGTATCATAAATCGTTGTCTTTTACTTGATAAATAGTAATAAACAGAGCAGTGGTTTTGGTTTGAATGATATGTGGTATCACCCATACCAGTGATATAGCTGATCAATTTGATATGTACTAAATGGACAATGATCAAAAACTGGCACTTTGGTAACATTACCTGAGGTATAATAGAGATATGCTTGCGAAGGTCATGTAGCCCGATCTCCTGTATATTCACCCCATCCAACAGTACTTTCCCAGTAGGCTCCGTAAGACGAAACATCATAGCTATTAAGGAGCTCTTTCCTGCACCTGTTCTTCCTACAATGCCAATCTGAAAAAAATATCTCAAATCAGTTCGGAAAACAAGCGTTATAATCAAACCTAAGACACATTTGAATGTATGAGTATTAACTTATCCACTGAAGACATTAATCCTAACTAATATAGAGAAATTCCATATCAAATAGTTTCATTTAACGGTTACTATAACAAAATATTGAAAACTAATCAATTTGAAGTGATTACTGAAGTCACCATCTGTGGATAGTTTGACCTACCTAAGTATGGCTATATTATAATGCCTGATAATAAAGACACATATCTATAGTACTCAGAAACATCAATGAAGATAAAAACTTTCTTGAATACCACATAACATTATTGATTTTTCCTCAGAAGTAATACATAATTATGTTTTTTGTTTTTTTGTTTTTGTGGTTTATAGCCATGACAGCAACAAAAGTTTAATGAAATTCAGTACATACATGGTTTGAATGCATAAATAACGAAATGATAGTTTTAAAATGAATGTGTGTTTCGTGTCTTATAAGTGAATGTATTTCAATCATGTTAATAAGAGTTAACTCCCTGATATTCTTGTGTAATTTAGCAACCTGAAGGTAGAACTTATATTGGTGTACTTGCTATTTTATCCAATTGTCTTGTACCAAAATTGTATATAAACTACCCTTGAGATGAAATTTACAAGTCTTTATACACAACAGCAGCTTAAATCCTGGTTAACTTTTCCCACCCCATGATACAGAAGGAGAAATGTTTGATGACCTGGAGTCCAGACTTGGAGCACTAACTACCTATTTAGGTCCCTTGATACAGAAGGACAGATGTTTGAAGCCCAGGGGCTCAGATTGCTGCACTTTTTACCTTTTCCCGTCCTTTGATACAGAAGGACAGATGTTTGAGGACCAGGGGTCCTGACTTGGAGTACTGGAGACACAGGTTCTCTCCCTTGATTTCTCCATTCTGTGGCCACTCCGGTGGAGGTTTGCGGTCCTTTGACGAGTCTAGGTCAGCCTCCATGTCGAGATGAGAGTAGTCAAGGACACGTTCCACAGATATCATCTACAATACAGGATAATCGATGAATTGGTCACTTTTTCTATAGTTAAATCATCTACATTACTGTTAACATTTTAAGTTTTGAGGGTTCTTCAGGATGGAGTAAAAAACTTATACCCTGTAAATAAAATCAGCCATTTGGCTTCAACCTTTCGGTGAAACAAAAATAATTAGAATTCAATTTTTTCTATTTGTAGGAGTAATTTTTTTCAATATGACAGAATTCTTATCTTTTCAGAATCAGAATTTGTAATTCACAGTACTTGTGTTCGTGAGAGTATTTACCTGATTTTCCACCTCTGCACTCTGTCGCACTGCCCACTGGAACATACCCATCAGGGTCATCGCATAGGTCAAGGACAGGCCAACCTTCCCAGCATCCATGTCTGGAGGAAACCAATAGACACTATATATAACATCAACATAACATCAAGGACATAAACCTATATAGTACATATAAAGTTGTAGATAATTACAGTGGTAAGTACACATAGTGTTGTTATAGAAATATTTCTAACATTTTGCTTTAATATGACATCAATTCTGAAAGTCTTTGTTGGCCATAGAGCCAACTGTTATTCAAAATAGCACCAGAAAAGAGGATCAAAACTAACCTTTTGACATGAGGACGGATAGAACTGCTACAATGGTGACAAAAATCGCACAAATCCAGTCGAGTCTGACGGCAAGCCAGCGACTTGTTGACAAAAACATAAACCAGGCCTCTGAGTGCAGGTCCTGGTGGTTGTCAAACTCTTCCATGAACTTGTCTTGTACAGAAAATGCCCGGATTGAGTGCAGACCTTGTAGGGAGGCACTAAGGTGGGAAAACACAGGACTGCGTGCTGTGAAGGAAGCATCAAAAGAAAAATTAATATCCGAAAGACCATATGATACCAATTATTAAAATAATCATCCTGCAACAAACCTCTGGTAATATTCACATATCTTGACTCCATGTAAGAGGGGAGAGTTGGCTATTCACAGGACAACATACATCTAAATTTATTATGTCGGACATTACGAGGCCTGGGCTCAATGTGACATATTTATAGTACACACAATATCATGTATATTGGTGCTTTCACAAGTTTACATTTATAAAATACTGCATTGATACAAATTTTCATAATGGGCTTGAGCAACTGACCCTGATTTGATAAAATACTGCATTATTACAAATTTTCATAAGGGGCTAGATCACCTGACCCTGCAATATTGAACCTAAACAATATAAAATTTTAGATTCAGAAAATATCTTAAACAGCCATGAGAATTATGCTTAAAAGAAATTTATACATTGTAACATAATAACAGTTCAAGTTCTGTGTGTATGACTTTACCTAACCAGAAACCATATAAATATCAGTGGTAGCTTACTTGTGCCTTCCAGTCGCTTGATATGCCGAGATGTCCTGATGTGGTAGGTACGTGTGATATAGAAAACTATACACAGTGGCACCAGAGGGATAAACACCCATGGATTTACAATACACACCACCAACACAATTCCCATAATCAGCAGGAAACACTGATAAAATACAATTTCATCTATGGTGAATTATCTGATGCCTAGAATGGAAGTTTCGATCGACTGTTACAAAACAAAAAGGCATTGGATGTTTTACGATTCTCACTTTTGTTTTCTAAAAGGATTTATTATGGTGATTAAGCCTACCAAATTTAAAACGATTACCTGGTCAGTTGAAAATTGTGGGAGACAACCGCTGGACAAATCAAAGTTTACAGTGACTGATAATGCCATACATCATAGTGTGTTCTGTTAAAATTTGACGCATCTATAAAATTTCTTTGATTTCTACTGCTATCATTCACAAATGATAACTTGAAATGGATATCAGGGATAGCAAATTGAACTGTTTTAAAATATTCTAAATTTTCTGACACTGCATGAGTTTTGAGCATCATTTGTTCTAGAAATTTTGTGAGTTCATTCATCAGGAAGATAAAGTATGTCATTGGATCCTTTGATATTGACTTATGACTATCGAAATGAATGAAATGTTGAATTTGAGGTTAACATACGAGGGTTGATTGATAAGTTATGAGCCAGTACAGCAGGAATTTTACAGGAAAGAGCACATTCTATTCTTACAGAAGATCTTGCAATGAGAAAGCTCTCAGCCCATTGGGTACCAAGACTTCTGATATTTGATCTGAAGCACACCAGGTGGACTTCGTCACGTGCTAACCTTAAGCATATAAGAGGCCGATTCTGCTAACACTCTGTAGAGGTTTGTGACTATGGATGAAATGTGGGTCATCATTTTACCCCAAAAGCCAAACAACAGTCTAAATAATGGAAGCACCCTGATTCACCCCTGCCGAAGAAAGTCAAAGATGTTCCATCAGCTGGAAAGGTTATGGCCTCCATTTTCTGGAATGCTGATGGTAGATTATCAGCAAAGGGGGTAAACAGTAATGGCACATCTTATGCATCACTACTCAGGCAGTTAAGGGAAAATATCAAACTCAAGCGCTACGGAAATCTCAGTAAAGATGTCTTGTTCACCCAGGAAAATGCACCTGTTCATAAGTCTGTCATTGCCATGGCTGTCATTAATCACTGGCTTTGAATTGATTGAGCATCTGTCTTATTCGCCTGATCTCATTTTTTTCAGATTTTCATCTATTTCCAAAATTGAAAAAGACCAATTCCTGTACCCAATTTTCAGTCATATAGTCATATAATTATGCCATACATGCAGTGGAGGACTTTCTGGACAGTCAAGAAAAGTGGCAATGAGACCCCTAAACATCACGGCAAAAGTGTATAGAACCTGAAGGGGATTATGCTAAAAAATAATGCAATTACATTCCAACTTACGCCCCAACTTGTTTGCCAAAAGTTGAACCCTTTAATATGAGGCTCACAACTTACCAATCAGCCTTCCTACTATTAAACGAATATAAAAAATCTTGCATGAATTCAAAATAATCCAGTGATACCTTTGACCCTTTAACCTTGACCAAAAACTACCAAACTGTAACCAACTTAAGGCCACTATGGCGTTGATACAACCTTAAATCTGATGTGAGGCTCATGAGATATCTTATAACATTTTACCATGGACAGATGGATCACTACACAAAGCACTATATAAACAGCCTCCCACAATAAAAGTTTGTATGTGTACTGTAATCAATGATTTACCTGGATAAAATCAAAGAATGTGATAGGAAGCATGTCGTCCATGTGGCCGGTGTCTTTTGAAAACCTGTTTAGGATACGTCCTAACAAGCAAGAAAAACAGAGAAAAATGAAAAAACTTATCAAATTATGCAGTCAGTAACTGAACAATAGTAAAGTTGAGATCAAGATTTCTTAACTTTTTTCAGTACATGTCATCAATTACATTACACATATTTCTATAAAAAATTTGATTTAACATGTAATTACCAAAAACCTTCAATTAGTAAAGCCCTGTAAGAACTAATTTTCATAAAGCTGTTTAAAAAGGACATTATTTGCAAAATGTTAAAGAATGAATTTTTACAAGATAAAGTGCCACAAAACGACTTTAACAAAGTACAGAGAATGACAGTTAATGAAGAAGGATACTCACCAACTGGATTGGTGTCAAAGAAAGCAATAGGCACACGTAGTAATCTGTTAAACATGCTATTGTGAAGGTTCATGGAAGCATCCACCGCGACCTTGAAAAACATGAGAGCTCGTAGGATACCAAAGAGGAACACAGCCACAATGATACCGGTGAAGATGTAGATGTTCTGATGTGTGTCAACATAAGGGATGGTAATGTTTGTTATATTGTGTCCTAGGTCTCGTAGAGCCTGATCCTGTACGATCATATAGTGACGATATTCCTCCTGGTTTGACCTTTCAAAATGAAATCAAAGGTAGGGATGAGTTTTCAATTACAAGCACATGCTTTAAAAGCTGTCTTTTCTTCTATCATTAAAAATTGTGAAAATGCTGAAATAACCTAATATTTCTTTAATTTTGATGAGAATTTACAAGTTTTAAATTCAACAGTGGGATCTATAGTCAAAATAATGTTCAAACATAACATATAGAACATCATCTGAATAATACAGATGTAATAACAAAGGAAAAGCTGATATATTCACACGCAATCTGTCTCAGCACACCGACATACAGATAGACACGCAATCTGTCTCGGCACACCGACATACAGATAGACACGCAATCTGTCTCGGCACACCGACATACAGATAGACACGCAATCTGTCTCGGCACACCGACATACAGATAGACACGCAATCTGTCGGCACACCGACATACAGGCACACTGACATACAGATAGACACGCAATCTGTCTCGGCACACTGACATACAGATAGACACGCAATCTGTCTCGGCACACTGACATACAGATAGACACGCAATCTGTCTCGGCACACTGACATACAGATAGACACGCAATCTGTCTCAGTACACTGACATGCAGAATTAAAGTCTCACCATATTGACAGCCACCAATCACTCATGACATAAGCTGTCTGTGCCAGCAGGTTCAGCAGAACTAAGATGGTGAAGGAGAAGATTCCTGAGCCTGCCTTGAAATAGTCGAAGTACACCCTCCAGCCAATCGTGCCTCCCTTCCTCTCCTCCTCCTCTGGGAGCTGCACAGGCTCCGGCTATGATAACATTTTTTTATATTTCAATCAAACTTCTCTTATCCAATGTAAGAATACAAAGAATATTATAAGAAACTATAATGTACCTGTCAACATAACGTTTCAAATCTCTGCAAATTAGCATCATATTACAACAACAGTAATCATTTTCTATAAATAGTTACTGTGACCTTGACCTTGAAAGTCCGTAACAAGTACTGATACAAGGTATTGTTGTAGCTGACTTTCAAATACAATTTAATCAAATTCCTTTACGAAAACAGTGATTCAGGACAGGACAGAATTAGAGGGACATAAGTAACATTATGTTTCCTCTCACTATCCCTCTATGATGGATTGGTAGGGGTGGGGGGTCTGTTTACACAGATTTACTGTAAAAGGTTCAGTTTCCATATGTTTTACTAGATAAGGATCTGTGTACATAGGTTTTATCAGATAACAGGTTGAGGCGAGTTTTACTTGACAAGGTTTACTGTGTAAGGATCAGTCTGCACTGGTTTTACTGGGCAAGTGTCTGTTTACATCGGTTTTATTGGGCAAGGATCAGTTTACACAGGTTTATAGGAGAAAGTAAAGTTTTTGCATATTTACATGATATGGGTCAGTTTATATTGGTTTTACAAGAAAAAGATCAGTTCACACAAATTTTAATATTAGACAACAGTCAATATACACAGATTATACAGGTCAGTTTATGCAGGTTTAACATAACAAGGGTCCGTTAAACTTGGCAAGGATCAAGTCACACAAGTTTTACAAAGAGAAGAAATTCTTCACTTTTTTGTGTTTGGTTTAGTCCTGTTTTACCAGATATACCTGAAACTCTGTGCCAATCGAAGCGAGAGAGATGCTGGAGCCAAAATCACTTGGCCCTGGGGAACGGGATATGTGTGAATCCAAACGCTGAAGGATCTGTTGTTTCTCCTCAGTATCCTCCTCCTCATCCTTCTCCGTCTTTAAAAGTGAGGAAAAGTCTACACCTGAGGATGCCATCTCCTCAAACGTACCCTGGCCCAGACATTCCCCCTGAGGAACAAGTTGTATAGTGAACCACAAATTAATGTAAATGACGAGTCACAAATGTTGAGTGTAGACAGACCACTTAACACTAGCGTATACTCTAATTAAAAATGGTACAACATGCTTTGCTTTCTTCAGAGGAAAACAGTTTCAAACCTGAAAGTATTCTTATAAGCCACTTACATCCTTGAGTATAAGGACCTCGTCAGCTTCAGCTAGGAACTGTAGCTGGTGTGTAACCAGGATGACTGGTTTAGACTTCAGTACTCCTTGTATAACACTGTAAAACAATTATCTTTTTAAAATTGTTGATGACGAACAACTTCCTCTTAAATTATAGAAATGATTTTATTTTCAGTACTTCTTGCATAACAAAACAAACAGATTTTTTACATATTGTCGATGATGGGCAGTTTCCTCTAAAAGTATCACAATTATTTTATTTTCAATACTTCTTGTAAAACAAAACAAACAGATTTTTAATATATTGTTGATGATGGTCAGTTTCCTCTAAAATTATCACAATTTCATTGCTGTATAAAACCTCTGACGTCGTGGACATTCAGTTATTTGTATAAAAAGATATCTGTGCACTAGTCACCTAACTGTATTCTGAAGATGCCTCCATAAAGTTGCACTCGTAGTGGCATGTGGAGATACAAAAGTACCAGAACAACTTACTTTTCAAACAGATGTCGACTAACGGCGGCATCTACTGCACTGAGTGGATCATCTAACAAATAGATATCTGCATCCATGTACAGGGCTCGTGCCAGACTGACCCTGGCCCTCTGACCCCCACTTAAACTAACCCCTCGGTCCCCAATCAGGGTACTGTCACTCTGAGGCATCATATCCATATCCTTGGTAATAAAGGTGGAATTTCAGTTAATCAAAGTTTGAATTAATTAACAAAAAATTTTTTCAGAAAAAAATCAAAAATAAAATTTATATCTTAAAAAGTCGAAACTGTGACCTCATGTTCATTTCCGATTATAAATGTTGGGATTTAAAATGTACCAAATTATCTGTATATATATATTATACCAAAGTATTTGTATATATGTAAGGCTTTAAGGCTTGGGGATTTTCCAATTTCCAATTTCCATTTCAAATTTTAGGGTATGTTATGGCTTAATATCAAATTTAGAATGCTTTAGTGACAAAAGAAAACAGTCTTTTCAAGAGTGTGTAGTGTTTGGTAAATACTGGCATAAAATGGAAACATTACTGTATGTTGTGTACAGAGTTTTAACAGTACAGAAGCTGCCATATACATTCTAGTAATTTCAACTTCCAGTCTATCTAATTCCTCAGTATATAGTAAAACCTTTACCTTGTGAAGGGCACATGCCTTCAAAACTCTGTTGTACTTTCTGCTATCAAATGCATTCCCAAACACAATGTTTTGACGCAAGCTTGCAGAGAATACCCATGCTTGTTGGGACACATATGCAATTCGACCTTTGACGTCCACCTTGCCCTCTGACAGGGGAATTTCCTTGAGAATGCTCATGAGCAACGAAGACTACAATTACAATGGAAAGTTCAATATATTTAGTGGTCTTCCATTAACTGAATCTTGTGGCTAATACAGACACAAATACAGTGTTAATATCATCTTCATATCAAATTCACAAAACCAATTCACATGATCAACAAAATAAAACGCTATATTGTCTAACTAGACCAATTGCTGATCATATTCAATAAAAAGTATATAAAGGGTTTCTCTTACAGGTTAATCATACTTTAATAAAGCCTTTTGCATTATTCAAATTCATAATAGCCAGGAAGGAATGGCTCAACAAATTCATTTCTTTTTTACCTTGCCTGCTCCCACTGGACCTATCACAGCCAGAAGTTTTCCATGTCCCACCTCAATAGATATGTTCTTCAAAGTTGGCTGCTCAATATTCTGCAGGAGACCACACACATAAATATTATAAATTATTCAGCTATTTTCAAGGGTTTAATTTTTTCTATTTTCAAGAATGGAATGAAACTGGACAAAATAAATACTTTTAAAGTAATAATTTACGGAGAAAACTATTTTCCTTTGACGATGTCCCTAAAAGATGATATTTTTTGTATCAAGATTCTTATTAAACCTACAAAACTTTCAGTAGATGAGAGCAACGACCATTACAGAAACCAAATGTGTCTTAATGGATAATCTTAGAGTCAATGTTTTCAACTACTTATAATGCACTTTAATATATTTGTTGTTGACTAAAGGTGACAAAACAATTGTGTCTCATAAATGGATGTTCACTTATAGCAGATACAGATTAAAAAGAAGTCACCTCTGTTTGGAGTGATCAACAAAGTGGCATACAAGAAGGTAACAAATAAAGTAAAAAAAAAAGCTTAAATAGTTTAATGTATACATAAAGACGGCTAATAACAGTGTTTCAATAAACAACATACTTCTGTCTTATCATATACAAATCAGAAACATTTGTTGTGATGGGACAAATATCAATGTTACATCTAATTTGAAACTTCATGTTGTAGAAAATACTTTTTGCGATATTGTAGAAACTTCATTTCCCATTGATGTGACCATGCTTGCTGAAGAGATGGCAAGTGGCACAAAAAATTAAATGTGGAATAATAAGTGCCTAGTGTTTTCAGAATAAAGAGTACTCAAGATTGTCTCAAACTATCCCTCAAGTCTTAAAAAGTACAGAACTTGAAACCATTAAAAATAAGAAAAACAAATGTCATAATAAAATCATAATGAAATCAGCATTTCTTTAAATCTTTAAGAACGAAAAATTAAATGGTCAAGAATAACATGAAAAGTCCATGTGCTCTTATTTTTCTAGACTTTATATATCATTGAGACTTTACACATACTGTAAGACCTTTATACATCATAAAGACTTTACACATACTGTAAGGTCTTTATATACCATTAAGACTATACATACTGTAAGACCTTTATATATCATTGAGACTTTACACACACTGTAAGACCTTTATATATCATTAAGACTTTACACATACTGTAAGACCTTTATATATCATTAACACTTTACATACTATAAGACCTTTATATATCATTGAGACTTTACATACTGTATGATCTTTATATATCATTGAGATTTTACATACTGTATGATCTTTATATATCATTAAGACTTTACATACTGTATGATCTTTATATATCATTGAGACTTTACATACTGTATGATCTTTATACATCATTGAGACTTTACATACTGTATGATCTTTATATATCATTGAGACTTTACATACTGTATGATCTTTATATATCATTGAGACTTTACACATACTGTAAGACCTTTATATATCATTGAGACTTTACATACTGTATGACTTTATATATCATTAAGACTTTACATATATACTTTAAGACTTTACCTTTATATATCATTAAGACTTTACATATATACTGTAAGATCTTTATATATCATTGAGACTTTATGATCTTTATATATCATTAAGACTTTACATACTGTATGATCTTTATATATCATTGAGACTTTACACACTGTAAGACCTTTATATATCATTAAGACTTTACATATATACTGTAAGACCTTTATATATCATTGAGACTTTACACATACTGTAAGACCTTTATATATCATTAAGACTATACATACTGTATGATCTTTATATATCATTAAGACTTTACACATACTGTAAGACCTTTATATATCATTAAGACTTTCCCTATACTGTAAGACCTTTATATATCATTGAGACTATACATACTGTATGATCTTTATATATCATTAAGACTATACATACTGTATGATCTTTATATATCATTAAGACTTTACACATACTGTAAGATCTTTATATATCATTAAGACTATACACATATACTATATATATGAATATATCTATATATCTGTAAAAGACTGAAATTCTTCTTTGGATTCACAAATCTTACCTCATCCCACTTGGCTGTAATATTATCAATTTTGACCAGACAATCTCTAATCTGTGGTCGGATACCCATATTGGGCTTCTCCACTTGAAGTTCATCCAGGAGTAGAAATTTCTAAAAGATTAGAGTAAAAAATCCTTAGTTAAAATATAGATTGAAATTGTTGGAAACATTAAAAACAAGAATATTTTCATTGTAATTACGATTAACTGAAGGCGAATTTAGAAAATGAATGCATTTCTTTGAAAGTAACTTATAAAAAACTCAAAGAATTTCCATCAATTATAAATCTGTGTTTTAACCAGAAAATAGATTTTGAATAAGTTCAAATCTAGGCATGATGTATTTGCAATCAACATGAATAATTTAAATAGAACGTTTCATCAGGGCAAATATTGAAATTAATTAAAATCAACATGCTTTCAAATCAGATCTATGATATATCATACTGTATTGCAAATAACATAAACAAAACCCACTTCATATTTCCCTAAAGTCCTGTATAAACATCTCCCTAAAGTTGCATATAACAAAACTCCATATCTCCCTGAATGTGTGTATTACAACACTCCATATCTCCCTGAATGTGTGTATTACAACACTCCATATCTCCCTGAATGTGTGTATTACAACACTCCATATCTCCCTGAATGTGTGTATTACAACACTCCATATCTCCCTGAATGTGTGTATTACAACACTCCATATCTCCCTGAATGTGTGTATTACAACACTCCATATCTCCCTGAATGTGTGTATTACAAAACTCCATATCTCCCTGAATGTGTGTATTACAAAACTCCATATCCCCCTGAATGTGTGTATTACAAAACTCCATATCTCCCTGAATGTGTGTATTACAACACTCCATATCTCCCTGAATGTGTGTATTACAACACTCCATATCTCCCTGAATGTGTGTATTACAAAACTCCATATCCCCCTGAATGTGTGTATTACAAAACTCCATATCTCCCTGAATGTGTGTATTACATCACCCCATATCTCCCTGAATGTGTGTATTACAACACTCCATATCTCCCTGAATGTGTGTATTACAACACTCCATATCTCCCTGAATGTGTGTATTACAAAACTCCATATCCCCCTGAATGTGTGTATCACAACATTCCATATCTCCCTGAATGTGTGTATTACTACATTCCATATCTCCTGAATGTTTGTTTTACAACACTCCATATCTCCCTGAATGTGTGTATTGTGTGTATTACAACACTCCATATCTCCCTGAATGTGTGTATTACAACACTCCATATCTCCCTGAATGTGTGTATTACAACACTCCATATCTCCCTGAATGTGTGTATTACAACACTCCATATCTCCCTGAATGTGTGTATTACAACACTCCATATCTCCCTGAATGTGTGTATTACAACACTCCATATCTCCCTGAATGTGTGTATTACAACACTCCATATCTCCCTGAATGTTTTAAAAAGGCCTAAACCAATCTTTAGAATACGACTATCTTGTGTAAGGCAATTTAAACATTACTGGATACACGTTGCAGCGCAATTAATGAAGGACAATCTGGTTTAATTATTTCAGCTCATACTGAAACAATGTAAAACATTTTGTCAATTCCTTCACTTACAATTCCAATTGTTTGAACATCTTGTTAAGGACATCTAACGATTGACAGTGATAATGGGATTACATTAATTGCTCCATGTGCTCACTACATTGAAAGTAAATGCTGTGGGAAGCTGGTTGTTAACGACTAATGTAAGCAATTAAAGTCACCAAATTATACATATTTTTTTCATTTAATTAGCATTGAGTGGGTGTGGTTTCTTCCATGTCTTGCTGTCACATCGTGCTTGTGTCCAGACCTTGACACAACTTGAGGCCCCAGTCTCTTTACAACATGTGGTTGGTAAAAGGAGCATATGTTGGTATGGGAACATGTTTCAAAACACATCATGACAAAATAATCACACCAAGACTGTCCAAATTATGTCAATAAATAATTGTAACACATAAAGATTTGCTTTGGAAGCATCAATGATGGAATTTCGATAAGCATCAATCTGTAGCCTTAAGTCTCTAGTCCCCAATGACGGAGTTTCGATAAGCATCAATCTGTCGCCTTAAGTCTCTAGTCCCCAATGACGGAGTTTCGATAAGCATCAATCTGTCGCCTTAAGTCTCTAGTCCCAATGACGGAGTTTCGATAAGCATCAATCTGTCGCCTTAAGTCTCTAGTCCCCAATGACGGAGTTTCGATAAGCATCAATCTGTCGCCTTAAGTCTCTAGTCCCCAATGACGGAGTTTCGATAAGCATCAATCTGTAGCCTTAAGTCTCTAGTCCCCAATGACGGAGTTTCGATAAGCATCAATCTGTAGCCTTTAGTCTCTAGTCCCCAATGACGGAGTTTCGATAAGCATCAATCTGTCGCCTTAAGTCTCTAGTCCCCAATGACGGAGTTTCAATAAGCATCAATCTGTCGCCTTAAGTCTCTAGTCCCCACTCAATAAAGTGATACAATTTTTTGAATATCAATCAATGCTTAGTGCCGCCCAAACAACAGCAGACATGCTTTTCTGCACTTAAATGAGTTCTTTGCTGTCGTATCCCATTTGATAAAGAACAAAATAAAACCTGCCATTTTTTAACAATGAATTGAAATTTGTTTCAAAAGATAATTCTATTCTAACTGATTGATTTATTTTTCAATATCATAAACATGTCATAGCCTTTACAGGCAGCACTTTTTAAACACTTGATCGTAAGTTTGGGTAACGCCAACTTTCTTAGTTCAAACTGATCTATTTTCACAAGAATAACTTTATACAGTTCCAATAGGTTCAACAATTACCATGTAATTTTGTTCAAACTGAGATAAGGCTTACCATACATGCAAAAAGTTAACAACAGCATTGAAAGCAATACATCATTATCAGACTGAGAAAAGCATACATAAGTTATTATAAATGCTTTACATTACGCAGTAAAACCTGCTTAAAAGCAACAATCATCTGTCAAAATGGGTCATCAGTCAGCAGGCACTTTAAGGCTATACTGACTGAGCCAATCTGTACAATTTCATTGGCACATTCAGTCTCTGATCATGGTCTGCAGTAGGTGACCAACACAGGTTTGACTGTATTTAGCAAATATTTAATTGTTCAGAGTAAGATAATTTGGAATATTGTTCAGTACGACCTGCCATCAATTATGTGACTTGCTTAAGAATAATTATTCTAAGTTACACTTTGGCGTAACACAACTTAAAGTTGTTGATGGCAGTAACTGTTAGTCCATGTATATATAGTCAAAGCAACATTAGTAGAGGATAAGGATCGACAGAGGCCAAAACTGAGTACTGTAAAAATAAAGGCTTAATGTTAATCAGGTACTTATTTTAAAATGTGATAAGGAACAAGTTCCTGGTATATAGGAGGATTGATGGAGGTTCAACTTACATTGCATGCTTTAAGAAAGATCTCAACTGAAAAATGATACATGTAAGTAAATTTCGAAGTCTGGTCTCAATATGACTTTCTGTTCAGGAGAATACATTTAACAAATCTCTTGTAATATGGCAGACATCCTAAAGGTCAGAATTCTGCGCAAATTATGTATCATGCTATGTATGTAGGCAGTAATGGAAATCTGTACATATATACTATTCTGAAGTAGAGAGAACAGTTATTCTCTATGCTAGCAAATACATTATTTTCAATATGGCTGCAATCACAAGCAGCCATCTTAAAAGTCCCAGGAGTCCATATTTCTAAAAACCCATTATCTTACCATGTCCGACTCCATGGATTAAGTCCTGTATCTGAGAGGTTATTCCAGAACAAGAAGCAATTTTGTCTCTAACTTCAAACTGTGACAATTGGAATGAATATTGTTACAATGACGTAAATCCTGATTGTAACATTGCTATTACACAAATATCCAAAAAGGCACAAAATCTTTACACACAGTTGTAACATTGTTTCATTTTTTGAAAGCTTTAACACTCAACACTTGATGAAGCTAGATCTTTGAACATGGGACCTCAACTCACACATATAAGTGACCCAACATGAGATTTGTTTAGAGTTAACTCTCACAGCTATTTGGTGAAGTGGTGACCCTACATAAAATTTATAAAACCTCATCTCTTATGGCTATTTGGTGAAGTCGTGACCAAACGTGGAATTTGATTAGAATTAAGTCTCATGACTACTTCAGGAAAGGATGACCAAACATTGGATTTGGTGAGAATTAAGTCTCACGACTACTTGGTGAAGTGCTGACCAAACATGGGATTTGTTTAACTTAAACTCTCATGACTATTTGGTGTAGTGGTGACCCAACATGGGATTTGTTTAGACTTAACTCTTAGGTCTTAGGTGTAGACAGGACCCGATGTGGATTTGTTTTCTCCAACTTTTAGATTGCTTACCTTTATACGTTTCAGAGTCATCCATGTCTCACTGCCATTGCGAAATGCAAAGAACCAATAGGTCATGAAAGTTTCACAGAGAAAGAGGAGAAGCGGGAAACATGTGTACATAGTCTTGGGTGTCAAAGGTCGACCAAATAAGGTTGCCAACGAAACAATCATGAAAAATGCTACGCGAGACCCAAACATCCACAGGGAGCTCATGACACCTGCTACCAATGACGAGTACCAAATATAACGCTGCTCCAATCTATTAACCAATTAATACTATTTAGTGTTAGATATGCTGAAAAGGTGAAGAACATAGGAAGGTTAAATCGGGTATAGTAGGATGTACATCAATGATTATCTGTAAGGTATATATGGAACATAACAGAGGTAGTCTGTTAGTTGTCAGATGTATGAAAAAGTCAAATACATATATGAACACTCAATGACTGTGAATATTTCATGTTTAAAAATCATTATGTAATTAGTCATCATTGAATATGAAGTGTTCAAAAAATAAACACAATTTTTAGGAGTAAAGTCAAAATTATTGAAATTTTTTCCTGTCTTATAACTTTTCAAAAATATGGAGTCCAATCTGAAGTCTACTCAACACATCTCTTTGAGTATGGAAACTATCCTTTTTTTTTATACTGGCAGTAATCATTTTTCCTGATGATGACACAATGTATTGCAGGTTTCTTATGTCTAAAAATGACAAATACAACATTGGTTTTAAAAAAGGGTAGATTTTTTCGTCGTTACACACAATGTATCAGCAATATCATTGCGTTACGGTAACATCATGTGTCCCCCATAAAATGAGAGGGTTATAAAATGTGAAAAACGGAAAAAAATCAACAAAAGTGATCCTGTTTACAAAAACTCTTTAAGATCATGAATACAGCAGGTATTGAGGAAGGGTTGACTGATGGAAGGTAGAATGCAAGTGGCAATTAATGTTTAGACAAAGCAAGGTGAAGTAAGAGGAAGCTGTCCGTATAGAAGGAAATCTCTGTTTAGAATCCTTCAGCGACTTTACCTGGTGACTCTGTATACAGGTAGATCACTGTAGTGATTCAGGGAGACTAGCACTACTTATGTTATTCTGGGCACCTTACCGTCACACGGGGACCAACAGCTAAAGCCTCGCTCAGTAACATTATTCCACGCTGTAGCTTAAAACCGCTGATGGAACCAAGCATGTTTGCCATGTATAAGCCCATAAATACAGATGAAGCCACGACATTGTAGTCAAAGATGAGGACAGAAGAGAGGAGAACCAACAGAAAAATAGGCTTGTTAACCAAGTACTCATTTTGACAACTGAAAAGGTAGAGATTCTTGTGACGAAGGATGTAATGTTGCTCCACCCTGGAAGATGTAAGTACATATTCAGACTGGACATCAAATGGCTGAGGAGAAAAACAAACATGGACAAAAACAAAACCAAAAAAAAAAAAAAAAATGAAAACAAAAATGAAAACATCTCAAAAATAGTACATTCACTTAAAACTGACATCTTACTTATAGTAAGTATGGTTTAAATATGATCATGCATTGGCACATTGCCATCCATAAATTACATGGTTCTATGTATAGGGCCAAAAATGGGCTGTACTCTGGGTTGTGTAACATGGATCGGGAAATAGGTTTAGGAAAATAAGTTTATAGGACAGGAAGACTTGCAGGTTTGTTATCTCTCTATATTATTTTCATGCTTCATGGTTTTAAAGTTTTAAAAGTATGAATATTTAAGTTTCATCAGAAACTTGATCATAGTATTTTTATAAATTATGCCAAATATGATCATTCTGCCATCTTTTAATTAAAAATGTTGTTTACTTTAAGGTTACTATACTATATTCAATTTAGGACAGCTCAACATCTACCAGATAATTCGTATTAAATTTTAACACCTTGCACTAAAACCCAATGTCTAAACTATTTAACAGTACATGTATAACTGAAACAGACTTCATTATGTCTGGAACTCACTTTTTGCAGGAAAGAATAGAATGCTTAGTTTTCATTTTGCTAAGCAGAAAGTTAAAGAACTATGTACACAGACAACCAGCAAACGTTTAATGCAGAAGAAAACACCAACACATGGCTCCAGTTGAAGAAATCAAAAACATATTGAACGCCTGGCCATTAAGGACAATCATCCTGACCTTGGGACAATAAGGGACTGACAAGTGTTTCCTAAATCAACGCCCTAAATGTGAAACCTTCAAATAAAGTAATATCAATATGCTTTTATCAGTCTTGTATCAAGTCCACATTGGTCAGTAATATAATATTACACCTCTGTAAGTTCAATAGATGAAGCTTTCATTATCCGTGTTCAATTACTGCCTGTAATTTCATCAACCTAAATGTCATTGTCCGTATTTTGTGTTGTTTCTCTATCCGACTCAATTTCATTGGCTATCATATGCTGCCAATAGCCAATCAATTTTAGCGATGTTTTCAGTAAAAACAGGATATTTTGGATAAGGTCTAACAAACATCAACTTAGTTTTAGCAAAACCAAAAATGTTCCATAAAAGACTTTCATCATCAGGATATTTCTGGCAAAATGTGTTACCATCTTCATATCATTTTTGTTGAAGTTTTTGAAAATTTACACTTTTATACACATTTACATATTTCAATAAAGTATAAACCCTGATATTAGTATTACCTGTGCACGTTTCCCTGTAACCAGGGTCTGGGAAATGTTTTGTATTGCCAAGAACACACCCCCATAGATGCTATGTGACAGGAGAAATAGCAGAGGCAAACATGTGTACAGCTCACTCGGGGTCAAAGGTCGACCAGTCAGTGACACTGGGACAACTAAACAGTAATACATTATCCGTGGGCCTAACATCCAAAGTGTTGTCAATTCGGCAGATATCATCCCGGATCGCCAAACACAGTGTCTCTCACATCTACAATTCAATAGATATAAAAAGCTCTTGTGTTCAGAAGAATATTTCTGCCATTTTTTTTTTTTAATATGTTCTTGAAGAATTTTTCATATAAAGCAAAGGTGTAGAATTGAAAAATTATGATAAATTTCTTATGGTTTAATAATTTGTTAATTCATGGAAAATTCTTACCATATTATCCAAAATGAGTAAAATTCGAGAGGACGCTATGAAGTTTAGAGTAGTTGAAGTAGTTGTAACAACAACAATTACACAAACTAAACTAGATAACAATACAAATATACAAAAACTGAAATGCATTGTTTTTGTTTAGTCATATTTCAGACACAAAACATAAATCACATATGTTTAGTTTTTACTATACAATGTAAAACATGAACACCACATTTCCATGCAGTTTTTGTCATGGTTTTCTATAAATAGAAACACAATTATAGTGAATTTGATCAAAATCATGGAAGAAATGAAGTTGCTGTATAGTGATGACTCTAAATGGGAATGGGACAGGTTGACGACAGTATCACAATTCTTTTCCTCTCTGTGGGGGAGGGGGCAAAAAATTTAAAAGCAGATATATTTGAGTAAAGATGTAATGCAGTTCTGAAGCCCTAAGCAAGGCATCATTGAATAACAAGTATCAAAAGAGGCACATCAGAGCAATAGAATGTTTTGCAGAGTTCCCAGTAAGTTAAAAACTCAAGAAATTTATGAAAGATATTCATAACTTACATTTGCAGAATGAAATTGCTTTGAAGAAAATGTAAGGCTTATGATATTCTAACTGTCAGTAGACAAACCAATACATAAGTGCAAATGTTTATCTAATCTTATCTAGATCCAGATTTGAGTCAAAGAGTGTATAGTCTAGGGTTGGTTAGTCACAGTAGTCCAGGGCTAACTACCTGTAGTAGTCTAGGGTTGGTTAGTCTCAGTAATCCAGGGCTAACTACCTGTAGTAGTCTAGGGCTGGTTAGTCACAGTAGTCCAGGGCTAATTACCTGTAGTAGTCTATGGCTGGTTAGTCACAGTAGTCCAGGACTAACTACCTGTAGTAGTCTAGGGCTGGTTAGTCACAGTAATCCAGAACTAACTACCTGTAGTAGTCTAGGGCTGGTTAGTCACAGTAGTCCAGGGCTAATTACCTGTAGTAGTCTAGGGTTGGTTAGTCACAGTAGTCCAGGGCTAACTACCTGTAGTAGTCTAGGGCTGGTTAGTCACAGTAGTCTAGGACTAACTACCTGTAGTAGTTTAGGGCTGGTTAGTCACAGTAGTCCAGGACTAACTACCTGTAGTAGTCTAGGGCTGGTTAGTCACAGTAGTCCAGGGCTAATTACCTGTAGTAGTCTAGGGCTGGTTAGTCACAGTAGTCCAGAACTAACTACCTGTAGTAGTCTAGGGCTGGTAAGTCACAGTAGTCCAGGGCTAACTACCTGTAGTAGTCTAGGGCTGGTTAGTCTCAGTAATCCCGGGCTAACTACCTGTAGTAGTCTAGGGCTGGTAAGTCACAGTAGTCCAGGGCTAACTACCTGTAGTAGTCTAGGGCTGGTTAGTCTCAGTAATCCCGGGCTAACTACCTGTAGTTGTCTAGGGCTGGTTAGTCACAGTAGTCTAGGACTCACTTAAACACTTTGTACGCGTGTGATTTCCTTGAATGGGAGCAGGGGGTTGGTTGAGTCTCACTCAGACATCATATCATTTATTCAACCATGTCACGTGCAAAACACTTGGTGGGATATGTCACAGCACAGTAACAAATCACTCAGATATATCATTTATTCATGTATGTCATGTGCAAAGCACTTGAGCGATATAAACACACACTAGTACCGAATAAAGCCAGCATCATTCACACCTTGTAGGTGAGATGGGGGATCTCAATGCTCAGGAAAAGGTTGCAAACACACAGCAAGCTTTGTGTTTCCATCTTTATCATCTTTCCCTACAGTTGAGAACCAACCTATTGATTCCAAACTAGTAACAATATCCATACACCTTTTATCTTTGTGACGACAACAATATCTCATACTTAGAAAATTACTGGCAACAACATCTTACCCTTTAAAAAGTTATACCTGTCTATGTGAAAAGACAAGAATATCTCACACAAGGAGAAATAAGGATACACCTGTCTATGTGAAATGACAACTATATTTAATACTTGGGAAAGTATGAATGTTCACTGTTACCCATTACAGAAGACAAAATCTCACACTAGGAAAAGTATGGATACATCTGTTCTTGTTTACAGACAACAAAAGCTCACCAAGAAAAGTATGGATATACTGTTCTGTGTGAAGAGACTATATTTTATACTTGGAAATGATGAATGTCCAATGTTACCCATTACAGAAGACAAAAGCTCACCAAGAAAAGTATGGATATACTGTTCTGTGTGAAGAGACTATATTTTATACTTGGAAAGGATGAATGTCCATTGTTACCCATTACAAAAAAAAAAAAAAAAAAAAAATCACACTAGGAAAAATATGGATATAACTTTCTATGTGAAAAGTCAACAATATTTCACTTTACAATGAAAATGTGAGCAACTGTATACATGATATGTGGCATCTACTTCACTAATGCATATTAATTAAACAGTTAGTGAATGAACTGCAGTTATTTCTATATTATCATACACCATTCATGAAACTGTTTTTTACTGGACATTTTTTTATACAATTATGATTTATGCAATCTTTATCTTGTTAAGGTGCTACTGATAAACATTAATGCCATCAGAATTCTGTCAGTATTGGTATATCTTCACTAGAATTCCCCACTTTTGTTTTCATCCCTGCATAGATATTTGTAAGCATCAGGACACAACGTATGAAAAAGTCAGAGATCATCATACAACTCAATGATAAAGTCTGAGGTTATACAGAACAGTATAACAGTGCTCAGAAAAAAACTTAAGTGAACCCTACTTGGGTATAACTCAATTAAACACATATTTTTTTGTTTATAATCTGTTTACCATCTCATAGCACTATCTTCAACCTTAGTGTATATTGGATCATAGTGCAGTTGAAAAAGTTGGTCGATTGTTGGTCGATTCTATATTATCTGGTACACTATGTACGTCAAGCTAGTACATTCAACACTGGTCATTTGTCTGATGAAGGTGACCGTGTAGTCATCTAAGCATCATACTATGATCTTAGACTGGTTGTGTTATAAGGTGAAGGTGACTGTGTAGTCATCTAAGCGTCACACTCTAATCCAATCCGAAGAAAATGTTCCAAAATAAACGTAACATCATGAGAAATAGCGCTACACAAGTATTAATTTACAGTACAATGGGTGACGATATAACACTGACAACCCTCCTTACACACAATATCTATATCTGCTGTTTGTGAAAACACCATGTGATCTAGCAGGAATGTTAGTTTCTCCAAAAATCTCTGACTTCATCATCGGATAAAGCCAGGAGACAAAAGATAGCAAAACTCTTATAATGACAGATTCAACAATGTACTAGCCCGATACTGAACACAATGGACACTGATCTTGAACCAAGTGTAACAAAATAAAGCAATGACCTTGACCATGTCATAACACACAAACACTGACCTTGACCCTTCGGTAGCTGGTGTAAGCATAAGATAAGTACTCTGCACTCTCCAGTTGCCATCCAAGCCACATTTGCTTGATGAGGTTAATGTAATTTATCAAAATGAAGAGAGATTCCGCTTTTACATGCATCACTGTTAAGACATAGGGCAGCACCATCATAAGATATAATATTTTGTCACCAAAATACCATATAAAATCCCTAATTCCAGACCAGTACATTGTTGTTTGTATCCAGTGGCATTCCATGCTGTTGATTTGGAAAATTAATAAAGCAATTTTAAAATTATGCCGTTGAAAAAGTAAAGAAGAATTGATACCTGTAAATATTACAATATAAAATTATAAACATTCTTATGTACATTTATTCACCACGATGCAAAATCTTAAATTTTCTTGTATATGTTATAATATACAAAAGGCCCATAGGGCCTGTATCACTCACTTGTCTTTACTTGCCCAGTCAAAACTAAAGGAAAAGGAAATTTAAATATCCAAGCAAACAACCCATACTATATCTATTTTTCTATTGGGATCCAACCCTCTGTCCATAGGGGGTCACCCAAACAATTCATACATCAGAACAAATTGAGATAAAATCCTGCCATTCCTAAAGCATTTTTAAGAATTTGTTCAATATCATCTATTGGGCCAAGCCCCTGCAGCCTCTGAAGCCGGAAATCCCAGTTTATACAAAATTGATTCACCCCTTCACCAAAACATACTTCAAACCATATTAGGGCAAAATCTAATCATTTGTAAAGGAGGAGTAGAATTTTAAAGAATTGCTTTCTTTCCTCTATTTGGGTATGCCCTCCTGCCCCAGGGACTGTGACCTACTGTATATACAAAATGGATTCCACTTCACCTAGGAATGCTTCAGACCTACTTTTGGTAAAATCCAATCATTCAAAGAGGAGGAATAGGATGGTATATTCCATCCTATCCCTCCTGCCCCACGGGGAAGAGTCCAACTGTTTATGCAAAATTGACTGCTTTTAACTCAAGAATGCTTCAGACTAAACCTGAGCAAACTCCAATCAATTAAACAGGAGTACACATGAAAGAATTAGCTCTATTCATCTCATAGGGCCCTGCCTCTCTTGTCCCAGGGAGCCTAGAAACATTATTTATAAAAAATTGATTCCCTTTCACTCAAGAATACTTCAGGTCAACTTTGGGAGAATCAAATCATTCCTACAGGAGCATGGGTGGACGACAGAATGATATCCATGGTAAGACATAAGCTCATCAGTCCTTCTGACCAGATATTAATGAAATTTATATGGAAAAAAAAATCATATTCTTTAAAACAGGTTGAAAGGACAAATTCTTCCCATGGTTCCTTACTGCAAAAAATCTTGGATATAGCAACTCAACCAAATACAACATGCATGCCACGTGAGGGAAAACAAGCATTC